CCCTTTTGGCTGGCCTCAGTGTGGCTGCGTCAACAGCAATGGGCACAGCAGCACGAGTCCGAGGAGAAAGTGGATTCCCTACCCCAACAGGTAGATGCTGATTTAGGAAATGTCCAGTCAGCCATAACTACACTGCATGCCCAGGTTGATTCCTTAGCTGAGGTAGTCCTCCAAGACCACCGTGGCCTGGACCCGGTGTTTCTCTCCCAAGGGGGTTTGTGTGCGGCGTTGGGGGAAAGCTGTTGATTTTATGCTAACCAGTCTGGAGTCATAAGAGACTCTCTTCAAAAGGTTCGAGGAAATTTAGGTAGATGCCCACGGGAACGAAAAAATGACACCCCATGATACCGGGCCGTGTTTCACCGGGACCCTTGCTGACTTCTTTAATAACTGGAATAGCAGGACCTCTTCTCCTCCTCCTGTTGGGATTCATTTTTGGGCCCTGTCTATTAAATTGATTTATTAATTTTGTAAAACGGCGCATAGCTGCTGTCAAACGTATATGTCTTAGAACCCAATATAACCCTCTGACTGTAGCTGAGGAATCAATGATTTGATTTCCCAGAACACACAAGTGGGGAACGTGATACCCTGTTTTTTGCAGCTAAAAACTAACACTCCTTTTCCTGGCTAAAAGCTGTTCCGGCTTGATGTTAGCTTCCTGAGCCGGACTGACGCCATCTTGGCTTCTGCATTTTAGTCACCTTCTCCCCACTGAGTATGTAACTCGAGTATAAAGCAAGGTCAGCCTGACTCTGGGCACCCAGGGATGCCTTTGTGATAAGAGGCCGAGTAAAGTGGTACCAGCAGAGCCTGGAAATGCAGCTGCAGTGAGCACCCAGAGCCCTCTTATCTATAAGTTGTGTGTCATCCATGACAGCTGTACTCCTCACACCTGGCACTGTTTTAGTTCTTACGTATCGGTTTTTCTTTTTAACTTTTTACTTACTCTGCCTTTGTGAAAACTTTGTTTCAGCTAGGTTCCCCCCTTCCTGTTAAAACTGGTGTATAAAAGACCCCCTAACTTTTTCTTCGGGGCCGAGAGAATTTTGGGCGTTAGCCACTCTGGGTCGCTGGCTTAATAAAGGACTCATAATTCAGTATCAGAGTGTGGCGCCTTCCTTGACTCACTCGGGTACAACAGTGTGTATACTGTATTTAATGGCTAGTCATTCTAATTGGCAGGAACAATTTTCACGGCTTGCTGCTAAGCAATAAACTATGGGAAAGCTGATGGGAGGTCCCTTCCATGATCGCATTATTCGGTGTAAGGCTGTCTTGCTAGCTGACCCGCTCCAGAGGCTCTGTCTTTCTAGCTGGCTACGAAGAGGATAGAAGCGCAGCGTGACAAGGAGCTGTGGTGACCTCTAGGAGCTCCGAGCAGCCTCCCGCCCCAGCCTGCAGGGAGCCGGGGCCTCAGCCCTACAACTGTAAAGAAATGAATTCTGGCCGGGTGCGGTGGCTCAAGCCTGTAATCCCAGCACTTTGGGAGGCCGAGGCGGGTGGATCACGAGGTCAAGAGATCGAGACCATCCTGGTCAAAAGGTGAAACCCTGTCTCTACTAAAAATACAAAAAATTAGCTGGGCATGGTGGCGTGTGCCTGTAATCCCAGCTACTCGGGAGGCTGAGGCAGGAGAATTGCCTGAACCCAGGAGGCGGAGGTTGCGGTGAGCCGAGATCGCGCCATTGCACTCCAGCCTGGGTAACAAGAGCAAAACTCCGTCTCAGAAAAAAGAAATGAATTCTATCAGTGACCTGAGTTGTCTGGAAGGAGGACTCTCCCGCAGGCGAGACTCCTGACGAGGTTACAGCCTGGCCAGCACGCTGACTTTTGCTTTGTGACGTTCTGAGCAGAGAAACCCACGCAGCTCTGCCTGGACTTCTGACCCACAGAAACTGAAGTGATAAAAGCATACTGTTTGACGTATTTATTTATTTTTGAGGTAGGATCTCGCTCTGTTGCCCAGGCTGGATGCAATGGCACAATCTCGTCTCCCTGCAACCCCCACCTCCTGGGTTCAAACGATTCTTATGCCTCAGCCTTCCAAGTAGCTGGGATTATAGTGATGTGCCATCCCACGGGGAAATTTTTTTTTCGTAGAGATGGGTTTCATCGTGTTGGTCAGGCTGGAAAAGTGTACTGTTTTAAGCCACTAAGTTTGTGGTAATTTGTCATGCAGCAATAGACCGCTAACACATTAGGGAAGGGAAACAGGCAGTGGCAACAACGCGAACATGGAGGACAAAGAGAATAACTGTGTTTCCAGCCCAGACCCGTTGCCTGGACTGCACGTTTATTACTGACCTGCCTACTCTACACCTCCACCGGGATCTCTAGTAAGCTCCTCAACCCGAACCTATCCAAAGCCGACCTCTGGATTCTGTGCTGGCTCCTCCCCTGACCTCCACAGCCTGCTTCTCCCTCAGTTTCCCCATCTCAGTAAGTGGCAACTCCATCTGCACCATTTCTTAGGACCAAAACCTTGTGGTCACCTGTGACGCCCTTTTACACCCCACCTCTAAGTTTAACGGCAAAGCAGTTTTACTCTGTCTTGAAAATAAACCCAGCAACATAACATTTCCATGGCTCCTCCCTGGTCCAAGTCGTCTGCATCTTCCCCTGGATCACTGCAGTAGCTCCCAGCTGGGTCTTCAGGCTCCATCCACCACCCCTACCCACAGCCCATCTCAGTCCAGCACGTGAAGTAACTTCTTAAAACATAAGTGAGTCTAGTCCTTTTTCTGCTCTAACCTTCCAGTGGCTCCCCTCTCAGAGGTAAAGCCCAGGTCACCTTGACTTTCAAGGCCATATGTGATCCGGCCCTCAACCTCCTCTGGCCTTGTCACCTCCTATTCTCCCTCATGTTGAACGAGACATCTACGTTGGCGGTTTCAGGGACTCCTGCAGGTTGGTAGTCCCCCAGCAGATGTGCCGGACCCCAACAGACCTCTCTTGTGGCCTCAGATTCTTTAACCCCAGAGCTCTAGACTGCCTGAGTCATGCCCGTTCTGTCCCTGTCTCCGGGCCCCAAAGGCAGCCAAGGTCTGGCACAGCTTCATTCTCCGGCCTTTTAACAGGATTGCCTGCCTTGCCCCTGTGGGCTGCGTCCACGTCCTCCCTAGTCTTTCAGAGAACAGACCTTTGCTTTCTCTGTTTGTTTTGTTCTCCTGCTCAGAAGTCAGAAGAATGTTCACTGGGGACCAGATATCTGCCCAGTAAGGGTTGTGAGTCTGAAAACGCCCCACATGAGGTTTTGAAACCCCTCAGGATCTCTTTCTAGTCATTTAGAGTGAGACTTTCAGTTACAAAGATCTGAAGTGGGGAAGGGAACATGTACAGTGACCCTCCTTCCTTCCCTACTGGGGACCTGCTAGAGGGACAGATAAGATGACTCACCCTAGTGTCCCGGCGGACTCCCTGAAAGTGGCCCAAGGATGACTGGTGGAAACGGGGTGTGCTGCCTGCTGGGGGACTACTGTCCCCATGTGACAAATGAGGCTGCAACCACTTCCCCCTCCCCTGCCCCTCTTTATCTTTCTTCCATGCTTACACTTAATTTTTCTCCATAATATTTAAGTCATCATCTGACGTTATATCTGTGACTTATTTTATCTGTGTACCATTAGCATGCCAGCTCCCTGAGAACACACTTCTATTGCGTTCTATGTACTGCTTTGTCCCTTTGCCTCTGTGTCTGAGCTCTGACATGCTCAGAAAGCATGCTTATTTGGTGACACGCTATTCAGAGATCTCAGAATTAACATAGAAATGGATTTAAAGAGACTGTGAAATGCAGCCACACCTTTAATCCCAGCAGTTTGGGAGCCTGAGATGGGAGGATAGCTTGAGCCCACAAGTTTAAGACCAGCCTGGGAAGACCCTGTCTACAAAAAAACTAAAACAAAAAAATTAGCTGGACATGGTGGCTCGTGCTTATAGTTCCAGCTGTGATGGAGGATGAGGTGAGAGGATCACTTGAGCCCGGGAGAGGGGAGGTGCAGTGAGCTGTGATTGTGTCACTGCACCTCAGCCTGGGCAACAGAGCAAGACCCTGTCTCAAAAAACAACAAAAAAAAGGCTGGGCCTGGTGGCTGGATCACTTGAGGCCGGGAGTTCAAGACCAGGCTGGCCAACACGGTGAAACCCTGTCTTTACTAAAAACACAAAATATTAGCCAGCGAAGTGGGGGGGGGGGGGAAGGAAGGTGCCACATGCTTGTAATCCCAGCTACTTAGGAGGCTGAGGCACGAGAATTGCTTGAACCAGGGAGGCAGAGGTTGCAGTGAGCTGAGATCACCACTGTAATTCAGCCTGGGCCGCAAGAGTAAAACTCAGTCTCAAAAAACAAAAACCTGCAAAATGTACTAAGATTCCTTGATCTGTACACTTGCCCCAGTGTTTCTCTTTATTTTGTCATATATAAAGTATGTTTTATTAAAAATAACATTTCAGGTTAAAAATAACACATGGACAGCAATTGCTGCTTACCGCTCAACTGGGTCGTTACCCTGAGGGAAACGAGACAGTACCTGCTGCACACCGTGAAACGTGAAGCACCCCACAGCTGCCGCTGACTGCCTTCCGGAAAGCAGTTTCCCCCCTTCAATCACTTGCTTTCCCTCCTCCCCTGCACTTTCACCACTCACTCCCCCTCCTCGCCCTCCCTCCTCTCCCACGCCCCACTGCTCACCTTTTCTCTGTTCTCTCCTCTTTCCTCCCACAAGTCCTCTCCGTCTCCTCCTCGTTCCCTCCCTCCACGATGTCCTCCCCTCCCTCCCTCCCTCCCTCTCCTCTTCTTCCTCTCCATCCCTCCCTGCCCATGCCTCGTCTTCTGCCTCCTCCCACCTCCCTCCCGCCTCTTCGTCCTCACGTCTCAGGTGTGTCTCTCTAGGCTTTGCCGCCCTCTCGTGGCCGCTGTGCATCACTGCATGTGCATGAGCTAGAGAAAGTCTCGCCGTCTCCTCCCGCGCTAACGCAGCGGCCAGTTTGCGGTACGGGGTGGCCTGTGCACAGCGGGGAATCCCAAGAGCTGAAAGGCACCGTTTTGCTCCTAGAAATGTTGCCAGGAGCGGTGGCTGAGGCCTGTAATCTCAGCACGTTGGGAGGCCGAGGCGGGGGCATCACGAGGTCAGGAGTTTGAGACCAGCCTGACCAGCATGGTGAAACCCCGTCTTACTAAATATATAAAAATTATTTGGGCGTGGCGGTGGCACTATGCTTGGAATTCCAGCTACCTGGGGGGCTGAGGAAGGAGAATCATTTGAACCCAGGAGGCAGAGGTTGCAGTGAGCCCGGATCACATCACTGCACTCCAGCCTGGGTGACAGAGTGAAACTGTCTCAAAACAAATTATCAGAGTTACAAGGCCTTCCGGATGTTTGACTTCTGTCAACCACAAGCTGGAGGAACGTTTCGTATGTTCATATTTATACCAGCTGAGCTTTATTTCCATCCTCTTAATGGCATAACCCCTTCCCGCTTAATGGCAGATCCTGAATGGCAGATGAATCTTAGTCCAACCAGGCTGCTCCTGAGTCAGCGGTTTTCGTCCTAGTCAGTTCAAGGCTCTGTGAATTACTTCGGGGCCTCTCCTTTTCCTCAGATGGTATCTCAGTTTGGACATGAAGAGAAGACCACTGGCGTGTCTGGGCGTGGAGAAGCATCGCTGGCCCTCCCTGGCCGCCTGTCCACTCTGGCATTTGTCTCTGCGTTCTTGTGCCGTGGTTTCTGAGTGCAGAAGCACTCAAATCCCGGCTTCTTTCCTCCGCATCCTGGCGAGGCATCCCAGCCTCTGCACCTGTCAGCCACATTCACACCCAGAGGAACCAGGAAACATCCAGAGCTTCCCCTCCGCCCGACAGCCCTGCCTCACGCCCTCCCAAAGCTATCTCCAAATAAGGTCATGTTCTGAGGTATTAGGATTAGGACTTCAACTCATGAATTTTGGGGGACACACAACTGAATCCATAAAAAGGTGGTTTGGGCCCTTTTAGAATACATATTCCAAAAGTCCATGTATCTATGAATTTTTTAAAACTGGAAGATAATTTTGAATGAGGCTGCTATTAAGAGAGACTTCATTTAAAGGCTGAAAATAATCATCTTCTACAAAGAATGATATATTTTGTGCATTCTTAAACAATGATCAGCATATGGCTGCTGCTGGAATATGCCATTGTTTCTACAGGAAATCCAGGCAGTTTAGTTACTTGGGGATGGAAATAGGAAAGTCATTTTCTTTGGAAGAGCAACTAGGAAGGAACCCAAAATAAGGGTACCGTGAAGAATAGTTCACCAGATGAAGGTCTTGTGTCTTTCTTTCTTTTTCTTCCTTTTTTTGAGACAGAGTCTTGCTCTGTCGCCCAGGCGGGAGGGCAGAGTGACACCATCTCAGCTCACTGCAACCTCCCCTTCCTGGGTTAAAGCAATTCTCCTGCCTCAGCCTCCTGAGTGGCTGGGATTACAGGTGCGCACCACTGTGTCCAGCTAATTCTTGTAGTTTTAGTAGATACTGGGTTTCACCATGTTGGTCAGGCTGGTCTGGAACTCCTGACCTCAGGCGATCCACCGGGTTGGCCTCCCAAAGTTCTGGGATTCTGGGCATGAGCCACCACACCCAGCCAGGTTTCTTACAGAGTCCCTCTTCAGTCTCTGAGAAACTTACCTTCTTGTCTTCATCCATGGAGAAAGTAGCTAAGTCAGTCCTGTGCTGCTGAGTGACTTCAGCAGATGTCAGAAATTGTTTCAGTTGTCTGTTAAGGAAGACCTCTCTTGATTTAACTTGGCCGCAGTAACTTCTCTGGAAAGTCTCATCTCTGAGCTCTTTAGTTGACTATTGTGACTGCCACACATGAGACAAGGACGAGATGTGAAAATCAAGATTAGTGAGGGCTGGCAGGTGTGGGAGAACAGGGTTGTGGCTCAGAAGTCCTGACCTCTGGCACGAACTGATTCCACACCCTGGGGTGTCAGATTGATTTATTGGCTTAAACAATAAAGACAAGTTTTCTCACTTCACAGGAAGTTCTTGGGTAGGACATGGAGGGGCTCTAGTGAGGTGGCATGCTGCAGTCATTCTCCCTCCTCCTGGTAATCTTTTCTGCACTGAAGAGGAAGGAAAATGAAAAACTACATCTTCCAGGTTCTCGGGCAGAGGTAATCTGATCTCAAGTAATACACCCACCTTGTCCTCCCAAAGCACTGGGATTATGGGAATGAACCGCTATGTCCGACCCAAACTAGCTTCTATGTTAGAAATAATTCATTATAAATAACCAGACAGAAATCTGCTGTGCTGTGAATTACCATTAAATATCAACTAAAATGAGTGAATAAAGACACTTCTGTAAGTTAAAGTGTTTCACTGAGTTTTCCTTCCCAGTTGCTGATCTGCACTGGTGATCTCCAGGCTTCTCCACAGCCAGATGCTGCCAATGTCCTGTCCAATTTCAGCTGCAACGTGGGAGGACAGCCATTTTTACTAATTTTTTTTTTTGTTTATTCTTATTAAAGAAAAATTCTAACATCTAAAATGAGTCAATTTATTTGTTTGCTAAATTTATGGAAGAACTCAACAATTGATAAATGTAAATTTTACCACACTCTCTGCTAAATGAGCCTAGTGGACAAATGCATTTAAGAGTTTCACCAAACTTTAGCTGTGAGTGGTGGCCCTGTAGTCCCATCTACTAAGAAACCTGAAGCAGGAGAAAGGCTTGATCTCAGGACGCTGAGGCTTCACTGAGCTGTGATGGAGCCACTGCACTCCAGCCTGGGTAGCAGAGGGACCCGGTCTCTGACACACACACACACGTAAGAATTTCTGCTAACTTTATAGTGATACTAACATTTATTGAGAGCAATTAACATGCCAGGCATTGTTCTAAGCATGTATAAACTCTTTTGGAGCACATTACGTACGTAAATAAACTCACAGCAATCCTATGAGGTGGGTATTATTGTTATCCCAGTTTTATAGACGAGAAAAGTACGTATTTCAACTTTCAGTCAGCAGCAGATCACATTGGATTCTCTGGCAGCACTAAAACTGCAGGATGCGTCCGTTCTGTAAGCTGCTTCAGGTCCTCCTAAACCTTTGGTCATTCATGTTCTGAAACGCCCGTTCCTCTCGCCGCCCCACTGCCTGTGACTCCCAACGCACCCCTCACCCAAGCCCCGGAGGCTCTTTCCACCCCGAGGAATGACCTTAGCTTGTTAACAGTCAAATAACAGCACACAACCTGCCAAAGCTACTCTGCTCTGTACACGTCAAACACAAACGCTTTCAATGCAGCGCTTATGGTCCTTTACAATTGCCAGCTGGGGCCCTTGGGCTGGGGGCCGATTTTTCAGAATTAAGAAAGGGAAACCTTTCTCCAATCCACAGCAAGGCGGGGGGGGGGGAAAGGTGGGGCCGGGCGGGGGTAGCCTGAATTTTGAGAGGAAGATGCGTGTTTTACAGCAGTGGGCCACTTTTTACAGTATCTTCTCCTAAGCGTTCAAAGCGGCCCCCTCCCCTGTTTGTTGAGATCGCCTGTATGTGGATTCGAGGTCCCCAGACAAACCCCGCTGACCTTCGAAAATTCGCATCTCTGGTGACCCCAAAGGAGACTCTTTAACCAGCCAAACAAATCCGCTCACACCTGATGACTCCTTGTTCTTTTTAGGGTCAGTTTCAAGTCCAGTGATCTGATTCCGAAGGATTCTCGGGGTATGAAATCAGCTCATCATCCTGGAGAACAGAGGCTGCAGGGAGGCGCGGTGACCTCGCGGGAAAAGACGCAGCGCGAATCGAACCCGCCAGTCCCCGTGCGAATTCGTTAAGGGAAACAACGGTTGGGACTTGCAGTCAACTTTGGAAACGAATTTAAAAGTCACCTTGATCAGCGTTCCTTACTGAGGAGCCGGGGGAGAAAAGAGCCTCATAATCCCTCTTCGCTAACTCCTCTCTGCACCCTCATTCCGAAGCGACTGACCTTCAACAGAATGTATGTCTAAAAAGACAAAATCAACGAAATGCCCCAAAACATCTATACTTGGAATATACGGAGAAAACTAGGTAAGAAAGGAATGAAATATGAAGAAGAAAACGTGAAAGTGAAGCAGTTTAGTGGCAGAGAAAATCAGTGAGGGGCTGGACAGCAATTGGACCCAGAAAGAAGCATTTAGGCGTTATTTTGTATCTATTAGTAGCTGCCTGGTCTTCTCTAGCACCGAAATTATTTTCATGAATCAGATTGATAGGTAAATAAAAAGCCGGTCCCTCGGAGGCCTCGTGGCGCAACGGTAGCGCGTCTGACTCCAGATCAGAAGGTTGCGTGTTCAAATCACGTCGGGGTCAACAATTTTAGCTCGCTGGGTCTCAGGTAACTGTATGGCGGGGAGGACATGAAATATTACAGGGGAAAAAAGTTGTTTTTCCTGCCTCTTGCACTTGTATACTCAATTACTTTAGCCTCCTCAAAACTCCCCCCTTCTCTTTAAGAGCCAGGTATACACAAGAATATGTTATGGTATTTGGGGGCTTATTTCTGGGTTTATAGAGACGTTTTCACTCTTTTATTGCAAACATTCTGAATTATACATACTCTTCAGCAACTCATTGCAATTGTTAACCCTCTTGCACTTCTCTCCACGCTCACTCCCACGCTCGCGGCCTCATCTTTTCATCCACATCTGTCTCTCCAGCCTTCGAAGCTTAGCAGATCTTCGCAGAGACCTAGTCTGGTTTGAGCGGAGGATCTAAGCTTACCTGCTTCGTATTTGAACCAGCACTTCTAGGCTAAAGCGGTTCCGACTTTCTGGATCTCTGCAATTTTCTCATCACCCCCTGCAAATCACGGAGCGCTTGATTTCCAGAGGCAGGAAACCTGAATGTAGTCACTTCCCCAAATTCATTCAGGGAATGAACAATGACACCAGAAAAGGCTAGCTATTCCGTGAACCACTAAAAATCTTATCCAGAAAATGTGCATGTTTGTGCCGTTTCTCTCCCCACATGTGACTCGAGACCCCGTACAGATTATGAATTAGCAAATTACAACTAGGAAAAAAGGGAAAGTACGTTTATTTCTTCAGGAGTGTTTAAGGTTTTATAACTTACAATGACTTTAAAGCATAAAATTTGAAATGTTAGCAGACGTTCTGTTATGTATTTACTGTACACATTCACACAATACACAGTGACAGATATTATATCGGAGAAGTGTACCCCAAATAACCTCTTTATAAACTTTCTTAGTAGTAGTGTAAGTCTATGGCCATATTACGAAACGTAAATTACTGCTCTGGGGAAAAAAAAAAAAAAAAAAAAAGAGAGTGAGAGAGAGAGAGAACACAATTTCCTGATTGAAAGCTTGACAAACTAGAAAAAGCGTGGCCGTGAACTAAGACCCCTGTTTCTTCATGTAGCAGAGTGGCGCAGCGGAAGTGTGCTGAGCCCATAACCCAGAGGTCGATGGATCGAAACCATCCTCTGCTAGCAGGTTTTTGGATGTTTTTTCCCCCTTTAAAATAGATCTACCTCCTAGAAGGAGGAAACTGTTATCGTTGGCATGGACACCGTAAGGAAACTTATGTTGATTTTCCTCTCTCTCAGAGATCTGCATCTCTGAATGAAATACATTATTATCCTAAATAGATTAAAAATAACAACAGATTGTTCTCACTGCAGGCAGAACAAAACAAAAAACCCAAAAGCAATAGTTTTAGCTTCTATTGTTCGAGCACTTGCTAGATAACATGCACTATTCCAAGTTCTGAATCATTTATTCCTCGCTACTCTACAAAGTAAATACTTGCTATTACTCTTATTTTATAAATGAGACACATTGGGGGTTGTCTGTAAATTGGGGTTTGCAGAGGTTAACTAACTTGCCCAAAGTCGTGCAGCTGGTAAGTGGTAGAGAAAAGATAATGCTCTAAACTGTTCTACATACTTACAAACACTAACGTTTACAGCAAATATCAAATTATTTTCCCATTTGGGGATCAGACATAGGAATTATTATAACCACCTTGAAGAGGCCCCACACTCACTGCCACTTCAATGACCAATGCATGCATTTATTCACCTATTTTTTCTCAATTTAAAATATTCTATTTTGGCCAGACGTGGTGGCTCACACCTGTAATCCCAGCACTTTGGGAGGCAGAGAGAAGCAGATCACTTGAGGTCGCCAGTTCGAGACCAGCCTGGCCAACATGTCAAAACCCCATCTCTACTAAAAATACAAAAATTAGCTGGGCATGATGGTGCATGCCTGTAATTCCAGCTACTCAGTGGGCTGAGGCAGGAGACTCCCTCAAATCTGGGAGGCAGAAGTTGCAGTGAGCCAAAAGCAGACGACTGCATTCCAGCAGAAGCAAACGGGGCGGGCCCCTGTTTCATAAAAATGAAAAGAACAATAGGGGGAACCTGCTTGATTCAGAAGTGTCCCCTCAGTCCAGAAGTCATTTTGAAAATCCTGTCTTCTTCTCTCTTTCGTTTTTAAATTGAAGGGGTTTCCGTTAAGCTGTTACTCATTTGGGAAGATCATGTGGAACTTTCCGTGTCACAGACAGACGGTTAGCAATTAGACTACAATACGTTAAAATACAGGCATCCCTGATGAATGTTCTGAGAAGCCATATGCCAGATATGTAGTATATTTGACGGCTCGTGTCAATGTGTGATGTGTGGTGTGGGCTGACTTGTGTCCCCTCCAATTCATATCCTGAAACCTCAGCATGTGACTGTATTTGGAGAGGAGCCCTTTAAAGGGTGATTAAGTTAAAATGAGACTACTAAGGTAGGCCCAAATCCAATCTGATTGACAGCATTTTCTTTCTAATAAAAGGAAATTCATATACACAAAGAGATGCCAGGGATGCGCAGGCACAGAAGAAACACCATGTGAGGACAGAAACAAAAACAGGTCACTCTGACTGGGTGCGGTGGCTCACGCCTGTAATCCCAGTACTTGGGAGGCTGAGGTGGGCAGATCACTTGAGGTCAGGAGTTCGAGACTAGCCTGGCAAAATGGTGAAACTACGTCTCCATTAAACATATATTTTTTTGTTTTTATTTTTATTTTTTATTTTTTTCAGAGACGGGGTCTCGCTATCTTGCCCAGGCTGAAGTGCAGTGGTTATTCACAGGCGTGATCCCATTACTGATCAGCACAGGAGTTTTGGCCTTCTCCGTTTGCCACTGGGCCGGTTCACCCCTCCTGAGGCAACTTGGTGGTTCCCCGCTCCCGGGAGGTCACCATATTGATGCCAAACTTAGTGCTGACACCAGATCGGCATAGCGCACTACAACCCAGAAGTCCTGGGCTTAAGGGATCCTCCCACCTCAGCCTCCGGAGTAGCTGGGACTGCAGGCACGTGCCACCACGCCCGGCCATTAAAAATATAAAAATTAGCGGGATGTGGTGGTGCAGGCCTGTAATCCCAGCTACTTGGGAGGCTGAGGATTGAGAATCGCATGAACCCGGAGGCGGAGGTCGCAGTGAGCTGAGACCGTGCCACTGCACTCCAGCTTGGGCAACAGAGCGAGACTCCATTTCAAAAAAAAAAAGAAAAGAAAAGAAAAGAAAGAAAGAAAGAAAAGAAAGCAAGTCGGGGCGCGGTGGCTCACGCCTGTAATCCCAGCACTTTGGGAGGCTGAGGTGGGAGGATCACCTGAGGTCAGGAGTTCGAGGCCAGCCTGAGCAATATGGTGAAACTCCATCTTAAAAAAAAAGTAAAAAGACGGGGGGGAGGGGGGAAGACAAGAAAAAAGAAAAAGAAACAAACAAAACCACAGTCACTTATAGATAGAAAATCAGTATGGCTTCAGACTTCTCAGTAGGAACATTGAATTTCAGAAAAATTATTTCTAGTTTAAAATTCTGCCCAGGTGCAGGGGCTCACGCCTCTAATTCCAGCACTTTGAGAGGCTGAGGCAGGCATATCCCAAGCTCAGGAGTTCAAGAGCAGCCTGGCCAATATGGTTAAACTCTGTCTCTACCAAAAATACAAAAATTAGCAGGGTGTGGTGGCAGGCACCTGTAGTTCCAGCTACTCCGTAGGCTGAAGCAGGAGAATTGATTGAACCTGGGAGGTGGAGGTTGCAGTGAGCCAAGATCCTGCTACCGTACTCCAGCCTGGGCAACAGAGCAAGACTCCGTCTCAAATATATAAAATACCCAAATTTTAAGCAAATGAGAGGGGTAGAGCCCAGACATTTGTCAGACATGTAAGCTCTCAAAATATGTAACTTTCATGTGGATGCTTTCTCAGCAAGCAACTGGAGGGCACACTAAAAAAAGAGAGCAAATCAAGAAAACTGAATTATTAAAGTCATTTAAACATGGAGTAAAGAAGGAATACTTCTCAGGGGGAGAAAAAAATAACAGTTTTTAGGATGATTGAAAGACACTCCCGGGGCATATGAGTACAGGTAAAGCTTCCATGTATGTGCCTGAATTTGAAGTTTGTTGATTCCTTCCAAGTTTTATTGTTAGAACATGAACTCAGCTTTTATTATCAAATTCCTAGTAAAATGAGAGGAATATATGTGACGTATAGTAACACCTCTAGATTTGAGCAAGCTGTAGGAGGCACTTTTTCTCTTGTTCTTATTTTATTTTTTTTGTTTACTCAAACAGATGCATAAGGAGACACTTTTAAAGTAGGATGAAATGTACAGACTGTGCAAAACTTTGGAATCTTTGGAGAGATGTTTAGACAACTGATGAAGTGCTTGCGGTTGGATTGATGATAAATACCGAGAAGCCTAAGCAGTAAAAACAAAAACAACAAGAAAAGACAATTTTGTACTAATACTGGGGGAATAAAACTTAACAATGTATTTCTTTGCTCATCTGCTGAATTATTTTTACCAAGTTATTATATTTTAAGCTACAAATATTAATGTATCATGTATTGTGCTGTAAGGATTTGAGACTTGCCCACTTGGCTATCTGTTAAAAAAAAAAAAAAAAGACATAGAAAGGGAGCAGATATGTGTCAGGGTCCTGGGGTGTGAGGAAAAAAGTGAACCACTTTCTCATCTTCTATAAAGTCAACCGAAGGACCATACAAACGTATTATTTAGAGATATGTAGGTAAATATTTTTAAAAATAGGCTATGTTTAAAAAATAAGCTTAACCTATGCAGCCATTAATTTGGCAAAGAGGAAAAAAAAGTAAGCTTAACCACTCAGCCATGATTATGGGTTCTAAAAGTTTCCTTAAACATTGTACATGCTATTACATATCACATATTGTATCTCTCATTTTACCAGCAATTTAATAGCTGAATTTGTGATCTGCCAGCAAAACTTGGAATCAACCAACTTCAAGTTCAGGCGCATATGTAGTAACCTGAGAATGTTCGTTGGGTGTTTTCTATAGTGCAAATCAGGGATATGTTTCAATAACTTTAAAAATTGCTGGAGGACAGGGAGCAGAAAAGAGACTGTTGATTTTTGTTTCAAACGATTCTTGAAATTACGTGTACGTAAAAAGAATAGAAGAGAACCTAAAATTGTTCGCTATCTAGAAAATTTCTATTTGTGAATTCTCAATCAAAGCTCTCACAAAATGACACAAGGTTTTCTTGGACGGCGGGCACGGTGGCTCACGCCTGTAATCCCAGCACTTTGGGAGGCCAAGGCAGGCTGATCACTTGAGGTCAGGAGTTGCCAAAATGGCAAAACCTCGTCTCTATTAAAAATACAAAAAGAATAAGCTGGGTGTCATGGCGCACGCTTGTGATCACAGCTACTCTGGAGGCTGAAGCAGAATTGCTTGAACCCAAGAAGCAGAGGTTGAGGTGAGCTGAGATTGTCCCATTGCTCTGCAGCCTGGGTGACACTGTGATACATCTTAAAAAAAAAAAAAAAAAAATCCCCATATTAAGTTTTATCAACCAACGCGAGAATTGGTTACTTCTGAAACATCATCAATTTAGTGATGTGATTTTTAAAAAAACGTATGGATGCAAAAGAATAGTGAACGGAAGCTGAAGTC